TAGCAGTCAAAACTTCAACATGCTTTGAAGCTTAAATTCATCTGCCTTATTTTATTGTCAATTATGCCACAATGATCATGGTAAAAATAGCAGAACCTATCATAAGGTTGCATTTACATGGTCTCAAATACCAAAGCCGTGTTTACTGACTGAATTTATAGGCTACCCAATCCCACCAGCTCCAGGCAGATTACTGAAATGCAATAAAAACAATAAAATCCTATTTACCAATTACAGCATCAAAATCAGCAACAAAGAACAATGAAATTCTAAATTGGCTAAGAAATACATTTTAATCTCCCTCCTAAACTGTACAAGGAGGGGGCCAGTCTCAACTCCATAATATAAGCCCTGTCATGGAATAATTAGAATTAGTTGTTTATGTTAAATGAATCTGTACAGAAGAGATGGGTAAGTAATTCATATATTCTGCATCTGTTGCCTTCTGATATTTTTGGATTAGATGTGAAGTTCTCTGTGTATCTGCCGAGTGACCTACATTGCACAGAGGTGTCTGTCTTTGGGGCCATTTACAGCAGTACGCCAGATATTTTTCAAATGGTCTATGTACTTTAATCTTCTCACCTGTTTCCTGCAATGTTGAAATCTGCCATTCCTACTAATAAAAAGGGGGAAGAATGGGAGAACTTCCATAGCAGAAAATGGAACTGGGAAGTTGCATTAATTAAACTGGGGGTGGGGGTGATATTGAAGGACACTGCCAAATCCATGATGAAGCAAGGCCAGGTTGCAGAATCCTGTCAGTAGACATGGGCATTTATTCTTCTATTATTTTTTCCCCCTAAAAGGTGACAATTCAGATCAAAGCTGAATAGATACCAGTAGTAATTGACAAAAGAGTCCTTTTCCACTCCATAATACTTTCACGTGCATATCTCCATAACTTGTTTCTGCAGTAATCTATTTGCTTTTTAACAAAATCCATAATAAAATTTGACTGAAATCTATAGGTTTTTGTGGATTTCTTTAAAAAATGAACACACTTCTGTTTATATAGACATTTCATAATATGCTGGCTGTAGAAATATACTTGTTTCTGCAGTAATCTATTTGCTTTTTAACAAAATCCATAATAAAATTTGACTGAAATCTATAGGTTTTTGTGGATTTCTTTAAAAAATGAACACACTTCTGTTTATATAGACATTTCATAATATGCTGGCTGTAGAAATATGCCTTAAAGATATTTCCTCTTTAAAGACACAAAATTAATATTGATATCTTAGTTCTGTTTTTCATGGCAACATTCAAGAAATGTCGGTGAATAAATCTAAATTCTGATCTCACTATTTCTAAATGTTCGGGCTGGATCAATTTTCTCAGACTCTCCTAGGTTCTAATATAAGAAATGGTTGGAATTCTTTCTGAAATGGTTTCCTACACTTAAAATAATTTGACCTTTCCTTCTTTCTAGGTTGACATAGAAATCAATGGAGAGCCAGTCAATCTGCATATGAAACTGGGTGACAATGGAGAAGCCTTTTTTGTCCAGGAGACAGAAAAACAAAAGGTGGGCTATTTACGGGGCATAAATATGCATCTGATCATTTTTTTCAGACATGCTTCTTAATAGGCTAGACCATGATTCTCAACCTTGGCAACTTCCAAATGGGAGGGGCTCTCCAACATACCTATTCCCTCACCCCTCCACTGTGTTGCGAAGGCGGTCTACTATGAGC